AGCACTTGGAAATAAATTAATTGGAAGGTAGAGCTTACACACAGTTCAATCCTTGCGTTTTACTGGACTCAAAATCCTTCTTTCCCTTTCATATCACAGGGAGATGCTGGCTGGGTTTCCATGTGTTACAGAATTGGCCAAATATGTTGAGCAGTTTCACTTTGTTCAGCCATTTATTGCTAGAGRCTGGACTGATCCTAGAGCTCATCTGGAGAGGGGAGTACCAAATCCCTCTTCTCTTACCTTTCATCACACTGATTTGTGCTGGGGCAGTTCTCCATGAACTCTCAGTCCAGAGGCACCATTGAATCCAAGGGATTAAAATATCTGGGCTTGATGAACCTCTCTTTTTTAAGGATATTACACATGCACACAGATGGTGAGAGAAGGATGGCAGGGGAGAGGGACTGAGGGAGTTTYAGCAGAAAGAGGATCCTGGAGTGCATTGCAGGCAGCCTGCTTTGGTGGTGAGAACACCTCAGCTGCTGGAGGGAGTGTCTCAAGTGCAAGAGGAAAGCCCCTAACACCAATGCTCATTTATTTTTGCTACCTGGCTCCTAGAGACAGGGGCTGGTGCCTGCTGGAAGGCCAAACTCCCTGTTTAGCAGATTCAGAGATGAGAAGGGAAAAGGTCTGAGAAGTGATAGTATGAGTCAGGGTGAAATATGGTAGGGGAGCTAGAGAGGARAAGAAAAGCAGAACAGGTATTTCTCAGCTTCACTGCTTTGATTTTTCTCCCTCTTCATTAAAAATGAGACCTTTTAGAACAAGTAAATTTTTTTTGTCTGCTAAATAATTATTGTGATTGCTTGGCTGTTTCATCTTCTTCACTGTGCTCACCTCACGGACTGTGCTGAGTTCTTGTAACATCACCACAGGGTAGGAATAGCTACTGTTATCTCTGGGATTGYCTGATTCCAACTCTGCATTGCCCTGTGTGGAGGCTTTTCCTTACCCAGGATGCAGATGCTTCCCAGTAGCCACTGGTGCAGAGTGGAGTCATAGGGGAAAGGTACACAAAGGAAATGAACCCTATAACCTGAGCTGTGAAACAGCCTGTGCTTGTGATACCTCTCTCCTGGGTTCTTTTAGAACAATCCTTCCCCAACTCTTTTCCATCCTAGCCAAAAAGCATCTCCAATCATTCTTTTGGCTATTTTTCCTGACAGACGAACACGGCAGCCCTCCTCTTTCCCATCTGTATCTAAGGGGCTGGCACTGCCACCCTTGGAGCTGTTGTCATGAACTAATTATGGTCCAAAGAAGCTGCTTTTGCTCCCAGAGGGGTCCAGTTGTCCCCTGCACCCTGTTGTCACCAGGTGGCATCCAGCAGTGTAGGTGGCAAGAGCTGCTGGGGCTGCTCCATAACCATCTTCATCTTCATTCCCCTCCTAAACTGGAAAGTGACCCTGGGCTGTGTGGGAATCTGTTGATCCAGTACACCTGGACACAGGGAGCTGAAAACCCCAAGTGCTGTGCCAAATGCAATATCAGCTTGATGACATCATCCCTTTTCTGGTGATCGTGGGTGTGCACCCTCAGCTTTCGATAGAGTCAGTCAGTCCTGMATGCTGGTCTTTGTTTTTGGGAAGGAAATTTTCCCTATCATATCGCTTCTCAGTCTGCTGTTCATASTTATGGTTTGGTAAAGTCCTTAAATAAATGCTTAATTTTATTTACATGCTGTCAAGTTTTCAATTTGGTTTCCTAAGTATATGAGAGTCTTGTGATTCTCTTCTCTCTCCCCTCAGGTCTGTCTATCAGCTGCCTCCCCTAGTGAGTTTTCTATGTATTGGCCCTTTTCAACCAAATTTTCCAGAGTCAGCGATCTCAAACATAATAAAGCTATTGCAGGTTTTGCGAAAAGCAGGGACTTGGGAGGGGAAAGGCTGAAATGCCCTGAAAGAAGGAAATGTTGCCCATGGAACACCAAAGGACCCAGTTAAGAGAGGGCCCCTGTGCTCTTCACTTCTGGGAGAGGTCCCAGTCACAGCTTGTTACTGATGAGCCACATATTTCAAGGAAACCATGGTGGATCTCTCTTGCTYATTTTCTTTGGTGTCTAAGGTAATTCTCCACGTCTTTGGAATTGTATATTTTTTATAAAAGGTACATGTGAGAGAAGCAGAAAAGGTGGACTATTTGAGAGTTTTCTGGACTTAACGTTCACTGTGTGCACACCCACGCATGTCCATGAGACAATCAGATGTAACAACCCTTACCCACCAGCTCAGAGATGGAGGCTCACTTTTATTCCTAAGGATGGGGACTAATGACATTGTCATTATGGAAGGAGGCTAAAGACACAATGCATTGCCAGGCTGAGAAAGCAGCATGTGAAACAACAGGAAAATTGTCACTAAAGTAAGATGGAAAAACATGAGGTGCTCCAGAAAGCAGCAACTTAGCACAGGCAGCACCCTATGCTAGGAACCTCTCAAGCCAGCTGGCAGGGAATAGTGAGGGCTGGAGGATTTACCTCTTAGATACATCATTTCAGGTGTAAAGGACCTTCAGCACTCAAAATTCTGATACCTCAACTGAAATTAGATATGTAAAACCCTCCTGAGTGAACTTCTCTCAGGTTTGGCTGGAAGGAGAGCCCTGTCATTGCTCCTGTGCCTACAGTGCAGCACACACTACTCTCCTGCTCAAATTACAGGAGAGYTGGGTTCAGCTGCTGACTGCTTCCAGGGATATTGATCCCAGGCAGTTCTCTTGCAGGTGAACAGATCCACATCTCAGCTGAGGAGCCACTGCAGATATTTCTTTCCTTGTCCCTGTGCTGGTGGACTTGCGGTGAAGTCYGGCAGCTGAATGAGCTCTGGCAGGGAAAATTGAGAGTGACCCCTTATGGCACAACACATTATGGCTRGAGGTGAGGGAGATGAATGTTGTCACAAGAAGGAGCAGATTACAGCCTGGCTCGCCCTCTCCTTTCATGAGTGCTTCCATGGTTGAGTTAGTACAGAAATTGGGAACATGAGCACCATGCTGTGCCCTGTGCAGAATAGAACATATCCTATCTTCCCTGTTGCCTTCTGAGACCCTCTCCCCTTCTGATTCCCTTTGGGTGACAGATGTGAAGTGCTCAGTCTGCACATTTGCCCTGTGCTTGGGCTGTCAGATTGCTGCTGCTGCTGCAGTTCCCAGTCCAGGGGAGGGACTGTTCTGAAACTGTGAGACATGCTCTGAATCAGCACTGCGAGCRCTTTGGAAATTTTGAGGTCAAAGCCACAAGTGCCAGTGGACGTGTGGCACAGTTAGCTGGWAGCTGAGCACCAGGGGACTGGAGCACCACAATTATGTAAAGTTTGCTGCTGGTCTAGTCCTCAGTCTCTTGCCCAAGGTCACATAAAAAGTCTACAGCAGAGAGCAACTGGAAACCAAATAAATCACCAGAATCCTAAGCTAATATACTCACGGCTGAATCCAATCTGAAAAATAAAAGCTTAAAGGCAGATTGTATTGCAGATGTCACACCCTTGATATGGGTCACTGTTAGCACGGGTAAATGTGTTGTGGGAACTCAAACTGATGGTAAACATCAAACCATAGAACCATGGAAACAGAGAATGGCCTGGGTTGGATGGGATCTTAGAGATGATCTTGGCCTGGGTTGGAAGGAATCTTAGAGATGATCTTAGCCTGGGTTGGAAGGGATCTTAGAGATGATCTTGGCCTGGGTTGGAAGGGATTTTAGAGATTATCTAGTTCCAAGCCCCTGCCATGGACAGGGACACCTTCCACTGATTCCACGTTGCCCAGTACTCCATTCTGCATGGCCTCGAACATTTCCAGGGATGGGGCATGCCTCTGTCAGGTTTCTATAAATATGGATCTAGTAACTGTTTGATACCTATCAAACACTAAATAGCTATCCTATTAAACAGCACTGTGATTATTCTACCAACAATACTAATTTCAGCTGGAGTTCAAGCATTACTTTTTTCTTTTCTTTGCCAAATGTTATTTGATCACTGACCTGCAGAAAGTAACCATTGCCTGACAAATGAGTAAAATCTGGTCAGTTTTTAAATTTTTCTTTCTGGCACTCAATCAGGCTTGCTGAGGAGGTCAGCAGACCTTGAACTTGACACTGAACTCTTTTGGGTTCTAGCTCTCAGCAAGTGTATTTTCTTATTCACATTTGCTACAATCTCAGWCGTGCAATGCCTTTTCTCTCTGGATTTGATAAATAAAGCTGAAGTTTTTATTCTGCTGCTCTCACTTTGTTTCCAAATGTGCCTTTTAGTTAAGAGAGAATATTTGCAAGCSCTTGGTAGGAAATGTGCACCTAACAATCCAGGATTGCAGCTATGTGATTCCCTAGATTACAGCTCCACTACAAGAAAGAATGCTACAAATCTACATTGTCACTTTTACCATTATTTATTTCACTGAGGATTAATGAGTCATTCGTTCACCAAAGAATTAACAACACTCTTTTTCCAGCACAGAAGTGAATGGTTGCATGAACAAACAGCTATAGACTCATTCCAAGCAGGCAACCAAGTGTTAGAAAAACAAAAACAGATTTAATGCTACACCARCAAGGAGCTTTTGAGATGGGGAGCTAGGACACTCGTTTGCTGCGCAACTTGATAAGGTTTCTTGGCTGACTGCTCCTAGTGGGAAAAAAAATGGGACTGAATCCAGAATACAAGCGGGATACTGGCTTGCASAGAATGAGAAAGGATCAAAAAATTTCAAGCTACGGACTTAGACACTGAGATTTGGGAAAGCTCAGCTGAGCTGAATTCATGTTGTTGAGGTTCGCAAGGTTACTCTCTACTGCCCGGGTTTCTGACAATCCAGAAAAACTATTTCCCCACAAACTGAGACTTTGCAGGAGCTAAATGAAACCAAACCAAACAAACTTTTGGATGCTCAACCTCCCCTGCATGAGACCATTTGACTCTCCTGYCCTGTGGCTCCTCTCCACCACTCCAAGCAGTGCTGTGGTACTGACCCCGACTGGGACATGCAGCGGCACTTACCTCCAGGACCATCTCTGTCATCTGGAACTGCTTCTGGGAGATCTTGTCAGAGCTCACAGGCTCATGGAACAGCAGGCAGAGCATGTCATACTTCTTCAATGCCTGCTTGTAATTCTTCTCGTTCAGGTCGATCACTCGGTCTTTCCCATCGTAAGTGGGGAAATTCAGTCCCTCTTCTGCCTTGCAGCAGAAAAGCAGGTAAAAACCTGCCAAAATCCAGCAAATTGCCTTCATAGGGGCACCCCTGGAGCACAGCAATGGATGGGTAAACGTCCCCCTCTTTCTTAATTTGAGAAGAGGGGGAGACCAAAGACTCCAGGTGAAGTTTGAACTAAGTTTCTCAGTTTCTCTAAGTTTATCTCTGCTGCTTTCCTAGTGTTCAGCCCAAACACTGTAAGGCTGGTGGGGAGCAGCAAACTTTGCTGTCCTGTACTCACAACAAAGAGAGAGACAGACAGGAGAAGCTGTCAGGCCAAGCCCTGGATACCTTACATAGCTGTGTCCAGCTCCCGTGTCATTAGGAACTCCATTTTTAGGAAGCAGTTGTTTCAGGCTAAAAATAAACCCTGCAATGAATAAAAAGGACAGATATGACACCATTGAGGGACTTGCTGKCACTCTGCATCATCTGAGAGAGAGRGAGTGGGTAAGAGAGARGGAGTRGAAGATGTCAGTCCTGGGAATATGCAGGCAGGGTTTGAGAAGAGACAGACTTCTCTTATACAGGGAACCAAGGCACAGACTGTCCTACTAGGAATTGACAAAAATAGAAGGTATTTACTGCAATTTTTAATAAGGGTATCTCTCTTTACATCCCTTTGGGCATCACAGTGATTAGGCTTTTGATAAGAGAACTCAGGTTAAACAGTTTCAGAGCCACWTCTGCACCACTTGAGGAAAAGTCCTGTTTCCTCGGCAGCAAAKGAGGTGAACACTCCTGGGACTTCTTTCTCCTGCCTGGAGCACCATTTGGAACTGCTGGCTGACATTCAAGGTGCTTTCTGAAGCACATTCTCTGCTTGTGGGGCAGCAAGAAGAATTGCTGGCCCTGGGACCTGTAATCCAAAAGCGGCAGGACGCTTACATTGAAGCCTCCCATTTTCACAGCAGTTCCCAAGCCCCATCCATTTTCTGGCGAGTGGTTAAACCTTATCGTGCTAAGGGGGCTGAAGGGTGGRAAGCACGTGCCCAAGCCAGTGTCTTGGGGTAGGAGGCAGAGCTCTCCTTAAGAGGATGGTCAGATGGCACCAGCACTGCCAGGCTCCCTTTCTGGGACCTGCCTGTTGGGCTGGAGCAGGTTTTTCACACAACCCTCTTGCATTTCCCAGCAAGCTGTCCTGCATATTCCTTCTTCTTCATGTCCCAGGAATGGTGGCCAGTTCCCCCTTCTGCAGCAGCTCAGCAGCAGCTGCCTCTTCGCTGTATCACGGATCTGCTGGGGGACAGAGGCACAGTCCCTCAGCTCTTCCCCTCCTGTGACCACGGTGTCACCTCTGACCCATGACTGGCAGCAACAGGCAGGTGGAGGCAGGCCAGCTGGCCACCAGCCAGCCCCGGGGCTGGCATGGATCCATGGATCCATGGAAAAGGCCTGCTGAGGGGCTGGCAGAGAGAGCTTGACAGGGGGCACGGCTCCCTCCCCCCTGCCAAAGTGATGTGCAGACATGTGGCCTTATCAGGTCTTTTTCTTGTGTGCTGCTCCATCCATCACAGCTTTGCTCCATCCACACCAGGGGAGAGACAATGTCCCTTCTTAAAGCATTTGTTCCCATTAAATTTTATGTCTGGGATTGTTTCAATATTTGGGGCAAAATGTGAGCGCTGCTTAGCAATTACAGAATCACGGAATAATTTAGATCAGAAAAGACTAYTAAGATAATGGAGTCCAGTCATTAACCAAACCCTGCCAATTCCACCACTAAACCATGTCCCTAAGCACCACATCTACACATCTTTTAAAYACCCCTAGGGATGGTGACTAGAACACCTTCCTGGGCAGATTAAACACATCTCCAGGGTGATTTAGAAGGACACATCCTTTCACTTCTATGTCAGCCTTCACTTCCAACCTGAACAGCCCATAACAYACTGACTGAAACCCTCGAGGCAATAGTTTCCAAATCTGTCTAATTTCCAAAGCCTTTTCAGAAGTTCAACATTTGCTGGCAAATTAAAGTCTTAATGACAAAACCTGAGGAATCTGGGTAAAAGCCAAAGCAAGACAGCTTCCAAAATACACTTYTTAGAGGCAGCCTTCAGGGGCAGTCATTTTTAGAGGGAGAGGTAAGGTTGAAAAAGCCTGATTGCTTTCAGTGGGAGACAGGCGGTTTGTGTCACCGTGGGTGGCAATAGCTGGTTAGGTTTTTGCTGAAYATTTAGGATGTAAAACGCAGAATGGAGCTTGTGGGATGAGTAGGCATACATTAAGCTGGTTGGCTGCCTTTGAAGGACCCCCATGGATCTGGGGTGCAGGAGCAGGCTTCCAGTGGCATCACAGTGTGTTTTAAAGCAGGCACATATTAGACATGGTGTAAAAATTAAGCGTTYGCAGCTACATCAAAAATTGGCTTATGAAGCTTCTGACCTCCTTTATTCTTGTAGATCAGCAATTGCTCCACTTTGATATTGCTCAAGCTATTTTTGATGTGCTTTTTCTCTAGTCTGAATAACTTTTTAATCAGCCTAAAAATAGATATAATCCAATTCTCATTTTCTCCTTTTTTTTTCTCTCAAAAAAATGAACAAAAATGTCTCTTTTTCACAAAAGTTGATGCTTCGTTAGCCTCATATGAATCTCAATTATCTCTCAGTGGCGTGAGTAATAAATATTTCTGATTTTCAGGTTTCACCTCCACATCAAAGCAAATTCATCCAGCAGACCATGACCAGTGTCATGGTCACCAGAGAGTCCATCTTTTTGTGTCTCCACTCAAAACCTCAGTGGGACTGCTAGAGCTAAATCAAGTGGACATTTTCTGTGGTGTTCTAGCTCCAGCTGTATCTATATGAAATTTAAGACACCTTGTTTAGCAAATCAGAAATAAGGATGAATTTCTCAAAATTAGAACAACTGCCTCAATCAACTGAAATTCTTAATTCCAATAAACTTTAGTCAAAGCAGATGTTCTCCTTGCAGCCCTGCCAAGACTGATCTGCAGTCCTGGGTTCATGTGTTTTGCAATGTTCAGAACAGCAGTTAAATACCTGAACCTGAGCAGAGCTGTTTTGTTTTTTTTTTTTCCCTGGGGAGCAGCAGAGCTGGGACTGAAGCAGATGCTCCCATAACCTGATAAAGGCCACAAGTGTTGTGTCTTTCTCTTCATCACCTCTTGGTGCTAATAGCAGCACACTGAACTGTGCTCATCTCATCTCAAYCYCAGAARCAAAACTCCTTGGAATTTYAAAGCTTGTCCATCCACTCTTAGATAATGTTGTAGATTTGGAATTTTGGGCCAGACTCACTGTCAACCAAAGTACAGTGGGCAGACCCCATGCATTTGGGGAACCTGAGTTTTGTTTTGTTTGCTCTGGTTTCTAGAGGACACTAACACTGTGTCAGATCCTCTTTCATAGAGTAGGAGCAATAGCTTTTTCCCGCGGGAGGAAAGGATGAGGGGGACAAAGAAATTTCATGGACTTCTCTGTGAAAGTTTAGATTTTGCACTCATCTGTTCAGCACAAATACTTTGTGCTACCTTCCTGCATAGTCCAGTGTCCTCCTGATCCCATTTTACTGCCTGTGGTTTCAGTACGTGTTTCTGTGGGCAGTGTCACACGAGGGAAGGATATGGTCTGAACTAAATCCTGGGACACTTGCCTTCAGCTCAGATATCTCATTTCCTGGCAAAGCTGGCATCTGTTAGTCTCTGATATAAGCTGACTGCAAGGTTCAACCTCCCAKCTCTGATTACTTAAMCATTGGCTCCTTCATCCATTCTGTKGCTGCATCTCTTAGCCCTGCCTCAAAAAACCAGTGCAATGCTTTTCCCCAGCTAACTATCCCAAAGATGTTTGCCTGGAAACTTTCTGAAAATGAGGTGGTAGGGCTCACTGCCTGTCCACCCTGTTAGGTGCTCATGTTGTTTAAATATCTTCAGAATTGGCCCAAAATTTGAGGCAAGTAAAGAGACAACTAAGACGAAATGCTCGCTGTTGGTTTGTTCACTACTGTAGGCTTTCTGTSCTCATCCATCAAGCAAAATCCTAGYTCCAGGGATTTAGGTYGTAACCCYGCCCCTGACATTCAYTGAAGTAGGATTTTAYTTTGTTTCTTCCAATTTTGTGAGGACAGGTAGTAAGTAACAGTGATCAAAACAGTACAACATCAGCCCTTCAATTTAGKCTTGTAGAAATGCTTGGTGGGGATGTAGGATAAGTAAAAATCTCCTTGTTGATTTTTTTGTTCCTACTTGTATTATAAATTAGGGATATACATTGGCTGTTCCTCCCTTCTGGCCACTGCAGCTGCACTCCATGCTGCTGTTCTCACCTTCACTGTCCTTTCTAACTCACAGAGTAAAAGAGGTCCCCAGCCACTGCTGATCCAAATGCTTCAGTGAGCCTTTTTTTTTCCAGGGCTTCAGGATTTAGGGTTCTGCTTTAGCTAATCTCTTTTCAAGCTTCTAAGACCTTGTATGTTTTGCAAGATAGGAGTATTCAGAAAATATGCCTTTTCACCACCAGCTAGCCAAGCAAGGTCACAGCTGGTAATAACTTGCAGCGTACTGTATTGACAAGGGTGGGAGCCTCAGAGACACACTGAGCCTTCCTAAAGAGACCAAGAAGAGCACTGTCATCCTGAGAAAAGCTCTGCAGTGTAAGAAAACCTAATTTTGTCTCTCTTCCCTTCAGCCCTGAGAGGTGTTAAGTCCGTCATGATGTTTTATGTTGCCTGTACTCCAGTGTAGTCATGCCAGGGACTGCAGGCAAGTACAAGGCAGAGAAGCYGTATCACTGGAATTCCCTCCCCTTTTTGCCTGTTCTAAACTGCCAGAGATCTTTATAGCACCTGAGAATACTTTGAGGTGTCTTGAGACCTGTTGTGTGATAAGATAATGCTATAAACCCTTCTGTTTTCTGACTCACCGACATTGGTTTTGATGAGAAAAAAAATTTAAAAACCAACAGGACAGATAAAAGGACTTCTATGAAATTATACAGAAGTTGTAAAGGGAAGGTCAAGAAGATAACTCAGGTGTCCTAACTCATTCTCAGTCGCATAGACATTTCAAACAAATCTTGGTTTTTAGGCATTGTGTCCCCCAGAGCAAAGTTGCTCTGGGCCACCTTAGGGAAATCATTGCACCTCTATGCCTTTAGGATCTGGTCTGGCACCTGTACATGTCAAAAAGTACTTTAGAAGGTCAAAACTGGGGCTGTCCCA